TTTGTGCCACAGATCTCTTTAAAACACTGACGAAGCCCTCTGAATTTTGGTAAGAGACTGTGGCTAGGAAATGTGGTATTGTGGCCTGAAGCACACGCTGCTTGACCTCCTTTAACAACATAAAAAGTCTGTTTGTGCCCTGCACTCCCCTAAGCTATAAAGTCACAAATGGATGAGAATATACTTCTATTAAGACCCAGTCTCTACTGCATTAGCCAGCAAACTTTCACAAGTGAAATTACATTCATTTTAATGGAATGAACTGAATTCAGTGCAATGAGCAATTTCACATTGCAGATTTCCAGGACAAATAAATCTTGCGTGTTGAATTTAGCACCGAGTTCAAACTTTGACATGTCAATTTGCATCCTTAACCAATTGGACAAATCAGCTTTACATCACAACAGCAAAGAGCTTAATTCTTACTTCATGACTTTATGTGATTAATTTTTGTCATAAAGTCATGAGCATGCACCACACTGTTCTGTGCACAGACTCACACCAATTAGGTGGAGAATCAAAACAAAAGAACAATTTATCTCTGAATGTGAAAAAATTAACAAAAACACTTGTTCTGTGGCTGCTAGCATAAATGATATTAGTGTTAGCTTCTCATAGTTTATGCCACCTAATGTCGAACTCTCTATGAATAAAAAAATTCTAAAAATAGCAATCAACACATCAACATACCATTCTAGTTTGCACCCTGAGGCACTTATTGCTCATGTAATAGAACCTGGCAGATTCATCTGGAAGAGTAAAGGATTCACTTATTTGTCATTGGCTTCAGCTGTAAGTGTTCAACACAGGATGCCTCACTGGGATCGATACTCTGCCTGTTTCTGAAAGCTGGAAAATGGGAAAAAAGTAATGTACATCACCCCACTACTGCCAACCAGACCAGTTATCTATTTCATTTTGGTCAAGACTCAGTGTGCAGCCCTGAACACCCATGAATATATAATTATCTAAAATAATTATGTTCACTTTTTGTCGTTGCTGTTAGCAGAGGTGTAGCCATGGGGTGGCCAGGGGCAACCTGAAATGAAGTATGGCCACCCTACTGGCCACCCACGTTATGGAAAGTGAGACAGTCAGTCATCATCAGTCAGCCATTATTAATAAAACATGAATTATGAAAATACAAAAATCTACCATCAGGATATGTAACAATCATTTATGAGAGTCTGATGATGCTGTGTTTAATAATTAGTGTATCATGCTGTGAAAGGCCAGTTTACTCAGCAAAGAGCTGACCAAATGTGCACTGGGTGCCTTCAGCAGAGCAGCTCTGTGATCTACACTGTAAACTAGGCCATTCGGTGGTAAGATGAGTCAGCTATCAAAAATGAGTCTGCTACACTTGTTTATCATGCTAACTAATTCATTTTTTACTGTTGAATACATGCATGTGTTGAATATTACCTGATACATTGCCTTCTCATTGTTAGGCTCATGTGTAACCTGTAGTGATTGCGACCTAAATGAATAACATCTATGGCCTGTGTCTATGAAATAAGTTAACAATGTGCATTGAAAAAAAAAAATCGTTTGATTTACTTGATTCAGATACATTATTTCCTCATGAAAGACTAAAATGTGATACCGACATGTTTTGTCTTTCAGTTTACTTTTGGCAATAGTGGTACTGGTGTAATATTTTATTCCTGTGGAAATGAATGAAAGATTTAGTTATGCACAGAGAAAAATGTACACTATTTTATTTTTTCTTAGCAGTGTGCCACCCAAATAAGATTCCTGGGTCATACCTGGCCACCCCATCCTGAAAGGTCTAGTTACGCCCCTGGCTGTTCGCGTACTAATTGCAATAACATGGAACATTTTCTCATATCCAGTCTTCCCGACCAGACTCAGTGATGCAAGGCAATTTTGCAAGGCATTGGAAAAAAACTAAAAAACTAGAGTGACTGTGGCTTTAAACATTATTACAAGGAGAAAAACATTTTGACTGGTTTAACATTTTATAAAATGTCTTTTCCTGATCACAGTTGCAAGAGTTTTGAATAATTACATCAGTGAAGTTCTCAGAAATGATACTGTATCAGGACTTATTCAAAGAATGTTGCTCTATCAGTGATCTCAGGGTGAAACAGCGTCTTTGAAACATAGTCTTTTTCTTTTTGATGTTTGTTTTTGCTTTTATTTATGTAAAGCGCATTGAATTGCCTTTGTCTGTACTATATAAATGAAACTCATCTGAAATTTTTGAGACCAAAATCTAAACGGAATCAAATTGAGCAATACATATCTATATTTTTCATAATTATTATTTTTTTATTTCAGAGTTCACTTGGGTAAGCATATCAGCCATAAACTTTTCAGTATTGTACGCTTTCCATTGTACTTTCTATAAAAATAAACAAAAATGAATGAACTACTTAATAAATTGAAATTACTCACCAGTTCACTACTCAAGAAATTAACACACACTTTATGTAAAGCAAAATAAAGAAATCTAAATAACTATTAGAGTGTACACGAAAACTATAAATAACACGCTTTGACATAAATATTACACACGTCTGACAGAGACATTCCAAGAAGGTGATAAAGCTAAATGTTGACAGTCACAGCCCTCGCTTCTCATCAGCGCTCCCCTTTCCCTGTAAATGGAAATTACACACCACACTACTCAATAAATTAACACACAAACTTCCAAAGTAATGTGTATTAAAAATAACAAATAGAAGTTACACAGAAACTGTAATTAACATGCTTGCAGAGACATTTGACAGAAACATTTCAAGAGGATGAGAAACATACAGGTGTTGAAAGCTAAAGGTTGTTGGCAGTCTCAACCATCGCTTCTCATCAGCGCTCCTCTTTTCCTGTAAATGGAATTCATCTATAGCATCTATATTCATACTTTGCTCTAATTTGTGTCTATTTTTTAATTTCTGTTTAATTTGTCTATTTTTATTTCCATTTCTGCTTAATATATCGCTGCTGTTGTGCCTCGTATCTCCATTTTTGACGTTCTTCAGTTTTTGACTTCATTTGAAAATGCCTGTTGGCCTTTACTGTGTGTGTAAAGTTCATGGTGAATGGACCAAAAGAAACAGCCCAAAATTATTTGGAAAAAAGTCTGGTTCCATTAACTTTCATTAAAAGTAAAGTATGTTTTTTCCTTCTCCTGTAAAGTTACTATTTCGGAGATACAAGGTTTTGTTCCAACAATAATGATATGTAAGTTTCAACTATATGTCTTGCTACTGTAACACTACCATTTCCCCTCGGGATTAATCAATTACTTTCTTTCTTTCTTTCTTTCTTTCTTTCTTTCTTTCTACTATAATTAACATGCTTGTAGAGACATTCGACAGAAACATTTCAAGAAGCTGAAAAACTTACTTGTGTTGAAAGGTACAGACAGTCTCAGCTCTCGCTTCTCATTAGCATTCCCATAAATCACTGTCACTGGAGGCTCTAAAAATGAACTGTAGAAATAACACCCCATAATAAGCAAAAACACCACAGAAGATTATAAATTAAACAGGAAATTCAGTCAAATCATTCAACGTTCATTGTTTTTGGCCTGTACAGTAGACAGGTATACAATAGACAGGTGAACAGTAGACAGGTGTTAGAAGACTGACTTGTTGCTCCTCTGGGAGCTTTTGTTTATCTCCTGCTTGCATGAGCACATAATTCACAATCAACAAGATGAAGAAGAACATAAGTATTAACTCCTAACTATGTACAGCCATTAACTGATATTAGATAGAATCTCAAACAAGTTCACTGTAAAAATATTGATACAATTTAAAATATCAAAATATAAAACAGCAGGGTGGGCTTGGGTAAGAACAAAAAGTCCTGGGCAAAAATTCCAACGTTACATTCCTGACATCTGAAACATGATTAGACAGTAAGTCACTCTGAATAAGAATATCTGCCAATGGCAAAAACATAATACTGGCTAAATTTGCTCTTCTGGGAAAAAAATACTGGCAGCGTAATGTTGGATGAATAAACAAATATCAGTTGATTAAACAAATTAACTTCAGTGAAGACGCCTACAAAAGCAGCAGTCGAGAAAACTCAAATCTTAATCCGTCATGTTGCTTTGATGTTTTGAGCTTGTTTTTTTACAGTGAAAAAAAAATTTGTTAGTCTCAGATAATATATTATTTAGTTACATATTTTAATTATTGGACTCAGTGTTGTAGAAACAGCGCTTCTATCTGAGTGAGAAAACCAAAAAGATTTCGGCTGCTGTCCATCACTGATAGTGTAACCAGTCAGTGAAAGTAAATTAGTTGACCTGCTGACTCACTTAATGAGCTCATAATTAGGTTTTGTCTGTCCAACATGAGCCGATCTGAGAGCAGAAAGACACACAAGACTGATTTCACCTGATGATCAGTGAGGACGACTAAAAAAAGAAGCAGTTGAGAAAACTCAAAAATCTGAATGCATCATGTTGCCTTGATATTCTGAATTTTTTCTTTTTCATGGTGAAAAAATCAGGCTGTTAGTCTCAGATTTTAGCCAGTAAAATACCGTATGATATTATGTTATATATTGAAAGTATTTGACCCAGTGTTTTAGAAGCAGTCCTCCAGTCTGAGTGGGATATCAAAGAGATTAAGGCTGCTGTCCATCAGTATAACCAGTGAAAGTAAATTGGTTGACCTGCTGACTCACTTAATGAGCTCATAATTAGGTTTTGTCTGTCCAACATGAGCCGATCTGAGAGCAGAAAGACACACAAGACACATTTTCTCCTGATGATCTCAGTGACTTCACTGATCAAGCTGCTTTTATTTTAGCATAAATCTCTGATCTTTGGTGCAGAGCTTGTGTGGAATGTGGATTCTCCAGTGTGTTTGAGTGATGTGATCATACCTGCGTTACAGACTGAACAGCTCAGCAGTGAGAACTTGGCAAACTGCCCTGCTGGAATGTTTCCACTCCTGTCTAACCAGAACAGCAAAAATGTACAAAAACATATTCATGTTTATGGACAACCCTGAAAAGAAGTGAAAGCAAAAGACGAGGTAAGGTATAAAAAGCTGCCTCGTCTATAAACACCTTCTGCAAATACACTCCAGTCCACAGAGCTCACAGGTGAGGTGACACAGGTAAGAGTCTCTGTTCATGTTTATTTTATGTCTCTCAAAGGCAAAATATTCTGTATTGCAAGAAACAAATGGAAATAAATGGTATAATGGCTAGTTGTAATGTGCTGTGATGGATTTTGAGGTAGACTTTTTTGAAAAAAATAGAACATTTATATGAAAAACCACAAGCACTGAAGAACGGTAGAACAGTTGTATAATAAATCTCAGCATTATTTGTGTGCGGAGACCTTAAAGTGTATTTTTTTAATTGAACAGATTGAATGTTTTGTTACTGATGTGCTCAGACTGCCTGAAAAATGTTGTCAGATTGATGATGTCATCCACTGCATGCATGTGAAAAAGCCAATTTTGCACACATCGTTTTAGATTTGTGGATTAAAAGAAAATATAATCCTCTTTACAGAAAGAAAGAAGAATGAGCTTCTGGATGTCAGGGACGCCACAGTGTCAGTGCCACTGCGGTGGCCAAGGACAACAAAGAAACGTAGTCCCATACAACACTCAAATGCAGAACGCACTACAGTGCCAACAAAGACAAAACACTGTTATGATGCCACAAATCATCAGCGACTCTGATGATGAGGTGATTTCTTTTACCTAATCTAACCTGGAGGGTAAACTTCATTTTTGTTCTCAACTCATCAAGAAATCTCTCACCTCTCTCTCTCTCTGTGCAGGAAGAATTTTCTTATACGCACAGAAAGAAGGTCACTGTGCTCACTAAGAACGGACCACGGCGTGTCCAGTAAGTAATTAAATTTAAACGATCTCATTATTTTATTAAAAACACAAAACAATCCCTGTACAATTGAAATTCTGTGAAAGCAATGTGTGATTAATGTTGTTCATAAATGCTTTTTTTTCCAATCAGATACACTCAACGCTTTGATTTCTCTCCCTGCTGAACTTCTGAAGAAACACCACAAGCATGAATTTCAAGTTTCACCTGCAATGATGTCAGATCTTAATGTCTGATGACTCTGTGTTGATCTTGAGTTGTTTTTTTTTTGACATTTAAAGAACTCATTAAATAGTAACAGGCTTATGTCGGTGTTATTCCATGGTGTCTGTGATGAGCTGATTGGTTTACTCTTTTTATAACTGCATCATTTTGGGAGCTGATCTCATTTACATGTAAGCATTTAAATGAAGTAGTTATTTACTATCTTGCTACTTTTTTGATGCTTAATGTTTCTTTATTAATCTATGTTTTAAAGTAAACTATATGTAGAATGTTATTAGTTTTTAATTGGGCTCTTGGGTTGAATATATGTTGTATTCATAACATAATTTTACTTATAACCTTAAAAATAATTTAATGCACAAAAAGTATGCATTTTTTAACCATCATTAACAAGGAGTTAGATCATGATTAAGCTGATCATTAAAGGGGTCAGGTCTTATAAAGTGCTGCCACATTTAAGAAAGACAATTGTTAGCTGAAATAAATTGTTAATCTGGGAAAGTGTCTGAATTTTCTCAGTCAGGGAGATTCTGAACAGCTGGGCAAGCCCACCTTCAGGAGCCCCCTCAAGTTCAGCTCAGTGCTCAGTCTTGGGTTCTCTTTGTAAAGTAAAGAACTCATACATTAAAGTATATACTCTGAAATGTGCTGTGAACTTGTCTTTTTTGTATCATCTATGGAAATCAATTGTTTTTACAGAACATTACTGTCAGAATAAAACCTCATATATATGTTGATGTTGATGCTGCTGTTGATTTTTTACAGTGTGTTAAACTTTAATAATGAATGGATCAACAGTCTCTGCTGTGGCTGTTAATGAAGGAGCTCCTTCCATTCTCAGATGAGGAGGTGCTCAATGATTCACTCCATAAACTATCACTTTTGTTTTTACACGTGTTGAGATCTCACTGCCGTCTTTTCATTAAATGAGGGTGGAACATTTAATTGCCAAAGTCTTTCTACATTCTTGAAAGGTTCATCAGCAGAGGAACTGACTTTGGTAAACAGGTGCTGAGCTTTGTTTTTATTGCAGCAGGTGCTCCAGCAGGTCTCATTCAGTAGGTGCGATCAACTGAGTATTGTCTGCACCTATAAGTAGTACTGAGGAAACATTGTTGAATGGCATCATTGGTAGTTCTTGCAAGTGTTTGTATTTTTTCTGTGGAAGAGCCATGAAAAATCTCAGAAAAACTGGGCATGATAGTTAAGTTAGTTAGTTAAGTGACCCTTATTAGTCTCACAACAGGGAAATTTCACCTCCACATTTAACCCATCTGTGCAGTGAAACACCACATACACACTAGTGAATTAGGGGGGCAGTGAGCAAACTTGCCCAGAGTGTTGGGCAGCCCTATCCACAGTGCCCGGGGAGCAGTTGGGGGTTAGGTGCCTTGCTCAAGGGCACTTCAGTCACGTACTGTCGGCTCAGGGGATCGAACCGGCAACCTTCCGGTCATAAGGCTTGTTCCCATTAATGGAACAAGATTCATCATATCATATAAACCGATCAGGCATAACATTATGACCACCTCCTTGTTTCTACTCTCATTGTCCATTTTATCAGCTCCACTTACTATATAGATGCACTTTGTAGTTCTACAGTTACAGACTGTAGTCCATCTGTTTCTCTGCATACTTTGTTAGCCCCTTTTTACCCTATTCTTTAGTGGTCAGGACCCCCATAGACCCTCACAGAGCAGGTACTATTTGGGTGGTGGATCATTCTCAGCACTGCAGTAACACTGACGTGGTGGTGGTGTGTTAGTGTGTGTTGTGCTGGTACGAGTAGATCAGACACAGCAGCGCTGCTGGAGTTTTTAAACAAGTCAAGTCAAATTATTTATATAGCGCCTTTTACAACAGATGTTGTCACAAAGCAGCTTTACAAAGAATCCGGGTCCACGCCCCCAGTGAGCAAGTCTTGGCGACAGTGGCAAGGAAAAACCTCCTCAACAGGAGGAAGAAACCTTGAGAGGAACCAGACTCAAATAGGGGAACCCATCCTCCTCTGGTCGACACCGGATGAGAGGACAGACACAAAACAGTATAAGTGGATACAGTTTAACACCACTGTGCAGTGCGCCGGCCGCATCAGTCATGTCAGACCCTCTTAGGACAGGCAGCCGCTCAGCTCAGGGAAAGAGGGGGGGGGAGGGGGAGGGGGGATAAGAGGAACATAGTTAGGAAAACAAATTAACCAAAGGCTCGACTAAACAGGTAAGTTTTTAGCCTAGACTTAAAGATGGAGGCTGTGTCTGAGTCCCGAACACAGACTGGTAGGCTATTCCAAAGCTGGGGGGCTTTGTATGAAAAGGCTCCTCCCCCTGACGTAACTTTATTTATTCTAGGTACTAATAATGAGCAGCACCTTGTGATCTAAGTGGGCGTGTCGGTTGATAATAGCAAATAAGGTCACTGAGGTACTGAGGATCAAGGCCATTCAAAGCTTTATATGTCAGTAGAAGAATTTTGTACCCAATGCGGAATTTAACTGGCAACCAATGTAAGGTACACAAAATTGGGCTAATGTGGTCAAATTTCCTGGTTTTGCTGAGAACTCTGGCTGCAGCGTTCTGGACTAACTGAAGCTTGTTAAGGTTTTGGCTGGAACAACCAGAAAGCAGAGCGTTACAGTAATCTAACCTGGACGTGATGAAGGCGTGAACTAACGTTTCTGCATCCTGTAGCGACAGTGCATTTCTTAATTTAGCGATGTTACGCAGGTGGAGGAAAGCTATTCTGGTAATATTGGTAATGTGCTCATCGAAGGCCAGATCGGGATCGATCATGACACCAAGGCTTTTTACCGATGTGCCTGGTGCAACTGAGAAACTATTTAGATTAAGAGTAAACGTAAACAGATTATCCCTAGCAGCTTTTGGACCAAGAAGAAGAACTTCTGTTTTGTCCGAATTTAGTATGAGGAAGTTACTTGACATCCATTCTTAAATGTCTTTGACACAGTCCTCTATCTTATTAAGTTAAGTTTTGTCCTCTGGTTTAGCTGAAATATATAATTGTGTATCATCAGTTTTCTAATGATGGTACCTAGTGGTAGCATATATAAGGTAAATAATATGGGTCCTAAGACAGAGCCCTGTGGAACACCATACTTTACTCTTGTGAGAGCTGATGGTTCACCATTTACATTAACAAACTCAAAGCGATCACTAAGGTAAGATTTGAACCACGAAAGAGCTTTACCTGTCACTCCTACTAGTTTCTCAAGGCTGTCTAATAGAATGGAATGGTCTATTGTGTCAAAAGCTGCACTAAGATCGAGTAAAACCAGTAAGGATATGTTTCTGTGTCCACTCACTGTCCACTCTATTAGACACTCCTACCTTGTCAGTCCACCTTGTAGATGTAAAGTCAGAGACGATAGCTCATCTGCTGCTGCACAGTTTGTGTTGGTCATCCTCTAGTCCTTCATCAGTGGTCACAGGACGCTGCCCACAGGACGCTGTTGGCTGGATATTTTTGGTTAGTGGACTATTCTCAGTCCAGCAGTGACACTGAGGTGTATAATTTTAGTTGTGCACTAATAAGTGCCACCATTACTATTTTTAGTCATTTGCTCAATGACATACAAATAATTAAAGCACTGTTAATGTTGTTTTATGAAGGTTGCATATGTTAGTGTAATAAGTAAAAAGATCTGTTGTTATAAATATGTCTCAATTTATCCCAAGAGCCCAATTCATTACCAATCACATTCTACATATAGTTTACTTTAAAACTCCTTAAAAAAGATATTTATGCATCAAAAGTAACATGATAGTAAATAACTACTTCATTTAAATTCTTAATACGTAAATGAGATCAGCTCCCAAAATGGTGCAGTTATAAAAAGAGTAAACCAATCAGCTCATCACAGACACCATGGAATAACACCAACACAAGCCTGTTACTATTTAATGAGTTTTTAATGTCAACCCAAGATCAACTCAAAGAGTCATCAGACATTAACATCACAGACCAAACATCATAGCAGGAGAAACCAGCTGCACCTCAGCGATTGTGGTGTTTCTTCAGATGTTCAGCAGGGATACAAATGAATGCGCTGGATGACTCTGATTGGGAAAAAAAACAAAAAAAAGCATTTCTGAACATAATGAAATCAGAATGTTGAATTTAATTGTAAAGGCATTATTTTATGTTTATTTTATTAAAAAGAGATAATTTGAATTTAATCACATACCGGAAACGCCGCACTCCATTCTTAACAAGTACGAAGACCTTCTTCTTGTGTTCAAAAACATATTCCTCCTAGAGAGAGAGAGAGAGAGAGAGAGAGAGAGAGAGAGAGAGAGAGAGAGAGAGAGAGAGAGAGAGAGAGATTTCTTGATGAGTTGAGAGTGAAAATGATGTTTACTCTCCAGGTTAGTTAAAGAAATCACCTCATCATCAGAGTTGCTGATGATTTGTGGCATCATAGCGTTGCATTGTGTTGGTTGGTATTGTAGTGCGTTCTGCATTTGAGGTATATATGGGACCATCATTCCTTGCTGTCCCAGGCCACCGCAGTAGCACTGACAGTTTGGCATACCTGACATCCAGACGTTCATTCTTCTTTCTGTAAACATGATTATATTTTCTTTTAATCCACAAATCTAAAACGATGTGGGCAAAATTGGCTTTTTCACTCGCATGCAGTGGATGAGACCACCAACATCAACATTTTTCAGGCAGTCTGAGCACATCAGTGACAAAACATTCAATCTGTACAATTTAAAAAAAAACAGTTTAAAGTTTCTGCATGCAAATAATGCTGTTTTCTTTCACAGCTGTAATATTGTTCTTTGATGCTTGATGTTGTTCATATAAATGTTATGTTTTTATAAAAGTCTACTTCAAAATCCATCAAACTACATTACAACCAGTCATTATACTATTTATTTCAAGTTGTTTCTTGCAATACAGAATATTTTGTTTCATAATATCCATATAAACCTGAACATAGTCTCTTACCTGTATCACCTCACCTGTGAGCTCTGGACTGGAGTGCAGAGGGTTCTTTATAGACGAGGCCGTGTGCAGAAGGATGTCCCCCATTGTGGGACTAATAAGCGTCACTTAAGACCAAAACTTTTCATACCTTGTCTTTTGCTTTCACTTCTTTTCAGGGTTGTTCATAAACATGAATATGTTTTTGTACATTTTTGCTGTTCTGGTTAGACAGGCGTGGAAACATTCCAGCAGGGCAGCTGGCCAAGTTCTCACTGCTGAGCTGTTCAATCTGTAAAGCGAGTATGGTCACATCACTCAAACACACTGGAGAATCCACATTCCACACAAGCTCTGCACCAAAGATCAGAGATTAATGATAAATAAAAGCAGCTTGATCAGTGAAGTCACTGAGATCATCAGGAGAAATTAGTCTTCTGTGTCTTTCTGCTCTCAGATCGACTCATGTTGGACAGACAAAACCTAATTATGAGCTCATTAAGTGAGTCAGCAGGTCAACCAATTTACTTTCACTGGTTACACTGCCTTAATCTCTTTGATATCCCACTCAGACTGGAGGACTGCTTCAAAAACACTGGGTCAAATACTTTCAATATATAACATAACATCATACGGTATTTTACTGGCTAAAATCTGAGACTAACAGCCTGATTTTTTCACCATGAAAAAGAGTTCTCAACTGTTTCTTTTGTAGTCATCCTCACTGAAGTCAATTTGTTTAAATCAACTGTTATTTGTTTGTCTATCCAACATTAAGCTGACAATATTATTATAATATTTATTTCCAAAAGAGGAGATTTAGCCAGTATTACATTTTTGCCATTGGCAGATATTCAGATGTAGCGTCAGAATTATTGACCAGGACTTTTTTTTTTTTTCCTTTTCCAAGCAGGGAATCAAACCCCACTCTGCCATTTTATATTGCGATATTTTGAATTTTATCAATATTTTTACAGTGAACTTGTTTGAGATTTTATCTAATATCAGTTAATGGCTGTATAAGTTTAACCGTTAACTATCGTCATGATCTTGTTGATTGTGAATTATGTGCTCATGCAAGCAGGAGATAAACAAAAGCTCCCAGAGGAGCAACAAGTCAGTCTTCTAACACCTGTCTACTGTACAAAAACAATGAACAATGAATGATTGATTGAATTTCCTGTTTAATTTATAATCTTCTGTGGTGTTTTTGCTTATAATGGGGTGTTATTTCTACAGTTCATTCTTAGAGCCTCCAGTGACGTCCGCTGATGAGAAACGAGAGCTGAGACTGTCTGTACCTTTCAACACATCTGTTTTTCAGCTTCTTGAAATGTTTGTCAAATGTCTCTACAAGCATGTTATTATAGTTTCGATGTAACCTCTATTGGTTATTTTTAATATGCATTACTTTGAAAGTTTGTGTTCATTTATTGAGTAGTACGGTGTGTTATTTTTATTCATTTAGTTATTTCATTTTTTTTGACTGTCTCAGCCCTCGCCCCTCATCAACGCTCCTCCATAGAAAGAAAGAAAGAAAAAGAAAGAAAGAAAGAAAGAAAGAAAGAACTTTATTAATCCTGAGGGTAAATCATAGTGTTGCAGTAGCAAGACATGTAATTGCACATAAACTTACATATCGCTATTGTTATATTAAGCAGAAATAAAAATAAGAATAGACAGAAATAAAGAAATAGATGTAAGTTAAAGTATGAATACAGATGCTATAGCTGACTTCCATTTACAGGAAAAGAGGCGCGCTGAGGGCTGTAACAGTCAACAACCTTTGGCTTTATCACCTTCTTGGGTTGTCTGTCAGACGTGTGTAATGTTTGTCAGAAAGCGTGTTACTTATATGTTTTGTTTAAATTGTAATAGTTACTTAGATTTATTTCTTCTGCATTACTTTGAAGGTGTGTGTTAATATCTTGAGTAGTGAACTGGTCTGTAATTTTAATTTATTTAGTAGTTCATCCATTTTTGCTTATGTTATGGAGAGTACAATAGAAAACGTACCATACTGAAATGTTTATGGCTGGTATGTTTACCCAATTAAACTCTTAATGAAGTGAAGATAAAATTTTAAAAAATAATGATGAAAAATATAGATATGTACTGCTCAAGTCGATTCTGTTCAAATATTGGTCTAAAAAATTTCAGAGGTACAATTACTGAAGCAGACATGTAAAGCACGGCAAGGCAAGTTTATTTATATATATTGCACACACAAAGGCAATTCAATGTGCTTTACATGAATAAAAGCAAAAACGAACATCAAAAAGAAAGTGCTTACGATTGAAAAACACTGAAAATTAAAGTGCTGAAAAAACACAAAGTGCAGTAGCTTCAGAATAATAAAATGATAATTCAGTATCTGAATTAAAATCAAAATAATAATAATAAAAAAAAAGATTTAAAGGAAAATAAAAAAAGCAAAGGCCTTGTGGTACTAAAGGGAAAAGTCCATTTAAAAATCACCACATTTGGAGCACATCTAAGATCTTCTGGCAGTTTGTTCCAGTTGTTTTGCAGCATAGCAGCTAAACGCTGCTTCACCATGAGATCACTGGTAGAGCAACATTCTGTGAATAAGTCCTGATATAGTATCATTTCTGGGAACTTCACTGATGTAGTTATTCAAAAATCTTAATCTTGATCAGGAACAGACATTTTATAAAATATAAAATGCGAGGGCTGTAACTAGACCTTTCAGAATGGGGCGGCCAGGTATGACCCAGGAATTGTATTTGGGTGGCACACTGCACATTTTTCCTATAGGAAAAAAATAAAATAGTGTATGTTTCTCTGTGCGTAACTAAATCTTTCAACAATTTCCACAGGAATAAAAAAATGTTACATTAGTACCACTACTGCCAAAAGTAAACTGAAAGACAAAACATGTTATGACATATTTTAGTCTTTCATGAGGAAATAATGTATTTCAATCAAGTAAATTAAATGCATTATTATTTTCAATGCACATCGTTAACTTTGAGAAGAATTTCATACAAACAGGCCATAGAAGTTATTCATTTAGGCTGCAATCACTACAGGTTACACATGAGTCTAATGGTTAGACAGCACTGTCTCAGGCAATATACAACACATGCATTTCACTGTTGTCAGAACAAAACCTAGTATCTCCAAAAGAGTAACTTTACAGGAGAAGGAAAAAGCTACTTTACTTTTAATGTAAGTCAATGGCACCAGCAGAAGGTTTTGTTCTGACTGCAGTGATTTAAAATTAGTTAGCACGATAAACGAGTACAGCAGTCTTATTTTTGATAGCTAACTCATCTTACCATTGAATGGCCTCGTTTATAATGTAGCTCACAGAGCTGCTCTGCTGAAGGCACCCAGTGCACATTCGCTCAGCTGTTTGCTGAGTAAACTAGCCTATCACAGCATGATACACTAATTAAGCACAGCATGATCAGACTCTCATAACTGATTGTTAAGTACCCTGGCAGATTCATAATTCATGCCTTATTATTTGTGGACTGATGATGGCCGACTGTTGATGGCTGACTGTTTCTAGCCATGCTTCACTCCAGGTTGGCATTGGCCACCTTTGGCTACACCCCTGCTAACAGATGACAAAAAGTGAACATAATTATTTTAGATAACTATATATTCATGGGTGTTCAGGGCTGCACACTGAGTCTTGACCAAAATGATATATAGATAACTGGTCTGGTTGGCAGTAGTGGGGTGATGTATGTTACATTTTTCCCCATTTTCCAGCTTTCAGAAACAGGCAGAGTATCGATCCCAGTGAAGCATCCTGTGTTTGGTAAGACTTACAATTTAGCGAATCCTTTACTCTTCCAGATGAATCTGCCAGCCTCTATTACATGAGCAGTAAGTGCCTCAGAGTGTAAACTAGGATGGTATGTTTGTGTTGATGGCTATTTTTAGAATTTATTTGTAGAGAGTTCGACATTAGGTGACATAAGCTTATAAGAAGCTAACTCGAATATCATTTATGCTAGCAGCCACAGAACAAGTGTTTTTGTTCATTTTTCACACTCAGAGATAAATTGAAGTTTTGTTTGATTCTAGCTAATTAATCAAATTACATGCTTTAGAGTGAACAAAAGACCATTAAATCGTTTAACATGGTTTTCATAAATGGAGCAGAATTAGAGTCAGAATTCGAATGGTAAGTACAGTTGGTTGATCTTTGGATCAGTTGTTGTTTTTGAATGTGCAGAGGGAAAACAAAGAAAAAGCTTTTTTTTAATTAAACCCTGCCTTGTAATGCATGTCTGGTGCATGTTTATGACTCTATGACAAAAATTAATCACAAAGTCATGAATTAAGAACTTGGCTAAGTTCTTTGCTGTTGTGATGTAAAGCTGATTTGCCCTATTGGTTGATTACACAAAATTGGCACGTCAGAGTTTATCAAAGTTGAATTCGACGCTAAATTCAACATACAAAATTTATTTGTTCTGGAAATCTGTGATGCGAAATTTCCTATTTTCAGTGAATTCCATTAAAGTGAATGTAGTTTTACTTGTGAAAATTCACTGGCAAATAGCAGTAGAGACTGGGTCTTAATAGAAGTTTATTCTCATTCATGCATGCTTTTATAACTCACTTGATTCATCTGAAGAAAGGAACACAGGAGTGTGGTTCTTAAAAAAAAATAAATAAATAAAAAAAAATAAAAACCACACACACACACACACACACACACACACACACACACACACACCCCCAAACTGCAGATAAGAGATTTTCAAACAGGTCCAGTTTTTGTCAGCGTTCTTTGGTTTATGTAGCCCTTTGTCTCTCTCTAATCTTTGCATGGTGTTGATAGTGTTTTAGCTCTGTATTCTCATACATTCTCTCTTGTGTTCTGGCTAAAAGTTTGGAAAAGGGAAGTGACGACACCCTGTTAAACAGCAAGAGGTGCTGTCACAATATTCTTAACCGCTTAAAACAGTTTCCAAATGTTTCTAGTTCATCATTCTTTAGTTTTATATTGATATATAACAGTGGTTTTAAAACACACACACTTTAGCTAACTAACAAACATTTTTACATTGTTTTGATTGCATGTTTTTTTCTTTTCAGCTGTGTGTGTGTAATGTCGGTTGCTTAGTATTTTTGTTTAAATTGTTGCTGTAAGATCAGATATAACTCC